ATGCGATGAAACTTTTTTGCCTCATCGGATCCAAATCCGTCCATGGATCGACGGAATCGATCATCTCAGATCCGTCCATAGATCGACGGCGTCTCTCTCTAGCAATATGAAGGAGGAACAGTCCATGGATCGACGACGTCTCTCTCTAGCGATCCAAATCCGTCGAACGATCGATCGACCAGATCGGAGAATCAACATCAAGTATTTGCCTTAGCTTCTCTGGGTTTGTTCAATTTTGGTTAAAGATGATTGATTTGCGTCTTATTCACTGAGAAATTAAGTTGAAACTTTAGGGTTTTGTTTGTTGGTTTTGGGGTTTATAGGAATTGAAAAGAAGAATGGTTAGATTGATGTTTCAACTGTTAGATTAAACTGTCTTTTGTATTGAAGAAATCCAGAGCTAGAGATTAAACTGTTATCTTCATCATATATGCTTTTGTAACATTTCATGGTTTCGATCTTTATCTAATGTGTTTTTGTCTTCATCATATAGCTTATGAATCGGTTCCAAGTTAGCTTGCTTTCTCCTCAATGCCTTTGATTTCAATTTTCAACTCACTGGTGATAGTAGTTCATAAGAGTAATCTCAAATTATGGATCCCTGTTTTCTGAATATCATTCAGCTTATACAATATACTACATATGTCGTTTTCGTTTTGATCTATTGCTTGTTACTTATAATTCTAATTGTTGGGCATTTTACATGTCATGCAGGTCAGCTTGACATTGGATATAGCAGCAGATTTACAGTCACTATTTAGTTGGACTATGTTACAGTTGCTGCATAACATAATCATCCACCTACTGACCTCCTTAATGGGATTCCGAAAAATCCATCCATGGAAAGCCTTCAAAAGGTAGGAAACTCAAGTACTATTATATGTCGATGGAAATCCATCCATTTTTGGTTTTGTCTTTTTCATTTATTTTCAAGGTTGGAAAACACAATTCTATGTTGTTGTTATACACATCATTCACATACCAATGTGGGAGATTAGCTTTACAGATTAATGTTGCATACACCATGTTGTAGAAATAGAAGCAAAGTTTCTGATTGTAAGGGAATGAAACATGTTGGAGTAAAATCCATGGAAACATATGAATGTGTTATTATGTACCTTTTTTTTTTAAAGAACCCCAATTTTTTTTAAAAGTTCTAACCAATGGAGGAGAAATTTTTTAAAAAACTATTATAGAGTTCTAAACTAATTTTAATGTTGGTTTAATATTATAAAACTGTTAAGAACCCAATTAGGAATCCTTAGCAATGTACATGCTCAATATTTAATATAGGCAAGAAGAGATCATTTGAACGTACGTACCGGTGGTGTTACAGGAAGCTGACTAACATAGAAAAATTGGAATAAAAAAAAAAAACGTTGAAGAATATTAGTATGAATTACTTTTTAAAGAATGACACTGGGTCCTACAGTAAATATGATCTGTTTATATCAACAATCCATAAGTCATGGACCATAACGATGTTTTAAGTTGTCTATATATATATATATTCTGATATCGTTGTTCCACCTCTGCTTGAGCTTTCTATTGTTTTTATATGTGTTTTATTTTCTTATGGTCAAACGAAGTAATACGTTTCAGTTTATGATAGTGCCATTGCTTTATTGTTTTTTTAGTATTTGTTATTGACAATGATTCATACCATCAGATATCAAACTAGTTCAGAGCGGATGCGAAGTTATAATTCACACTGGAACACAAATACCACCAATGATTCATACCGCAACCCTAATTTTTATGGTTCTAACAAAAAAAAGAAGGGAAATTGGTAAGTATATAACCAAGAAAAATATTAAAACACAATAACTAAGCAAAACCCTGGCACTAATCATAGCAACTAATTTTAGGATTTTTGGTTAATTATTATGTTTTAATTTTTTTCTTGGTTATTAACCAAATTAATGC